TAACTTTATATCACAGGTATGTACAGTCAATCACCTGATTGTACAAGTGTGTATGTTGATAACGATGGTCACTATATAAGGGCATGTGTGTTACCTTGAGTAAGCTTCACTCAAACATCGCCTTCGGCAAGAGTCTTCCGTACTTCAGTGGTAGAATGTATTCTATTGCTCACATCTCCACGGTGAGTCTATACTCACCTACGCCTCGGTAGGTATAAAAATGCTTAAATGGTAAATTTCTGTACTTTGTTGATCTAATTATTCATGGTCTCCTGATCTCCTGAGTAATCTATACTTGGCCTAGTCATGTTCGGGACTTGTCCTATATTTGGTCTAGTCATGTTCGGGACTTGTCCTATACTTGGCCTAGACATATTCTGAACTTATCCTATACTTGGCCTAGTCATGTTCGGGACTTGTCCTATACTTGGCCTAGACATATTCAGGACTTATCCTATACTTGGCCTAGTCATGTTCCGGACTTATCCTTTACTTGGCCTAGTCATGTTCGGGACTTATCCTATACTTGGCCCAGATGTTCGGTACTGACTAAAAAGCCAATTTCTGGAGTGCTATTTGCTCTTACTACACACTGTCGGTTTAGCTGAATGAACAGCTGTGTGGTAAGTGATGCTGTTTATGGATAGCATAACAACCACAGCACATGGCACTGTCTAGTGCAGTGTGTGATTAACCTACTACCTCACATGCTACTGGTGCAGTGCGTGACTATCCTACTACCTCACATGCTACTGGTGCAGTGTGTGACTAATTTACTACCTCATATGCTACTGGTGCAGTGTGTGACTAACCTACTACCTCACATGCTACTAGTGCAGTGTGTGACTAACCTACTACCTCACATGCTACTGGTGCAGTGTGTGAATAACCTACTACCTCATATGCTACTGGTGCAGTGTGTGACTAACCTACTACCTCACATGCTACTAGTGCAATGTGTGACTAACCTACTACCTCACATGCTACTGTTGCAAAATGTGACTAACCTACTTACTCACATGTTGCTGTGACAGAGTATGAACGCCATTGCAAACGGAATTGAATCCTTCACGTACGACAGCCTTACGTCTAAGATCAGCAGCTCAAGCGCAGACTCACTGCAGGTCATCACTCACAAGCACGCACACCCAGAGGTATGACCGATCTATGAATGCCACAGACAATTATATATAGCATGTAGTGGTGTCTATATATAGCTATCTATAAATGCCACAGATAATAATATATAGAATGGAGGGGTGTCTATATATAGCCATCTATAAATGCCACAGACAATTATATATAGAATGGAGTGGTGTCTATATATAGCTATCTATAAATGCCTTAGACAATTATATATAGAATGGAGTGTTGTCTATATTTGGCTATCTATACATGCCACAGATAGTCACTTATAGAATGACCTGGTTACCGAAGCAACGCTTAACCTACCTCTAGCTTAGCAGAGTGGTGCGCATTTGATATGTATGTACGTGTGTGTACGTTTTGATATACTGTCTGTGCATGGCTGTAGTCAAACGTTCAATCATGATGTCTTGGAGTGTTTAGTTCACCACATGCCTATCCACTCTAGTGTGCATACTCCTACCATACCCGTTTTGTTTCACCACCAATGGTTTGTAAAATCAACGAGAGACCTCTACGCATCATGGTAGTTTTCGAGTTTCTCCGGATGCCTGCTATCTATAAGTAATAATACTAAACAAATGCATACCATTGAACAATAAGTAATAATACTAAACAAAAACATAACAATAAACACAAGGTAATAACACTAAACATAAACACAACATTAAACAATAAGCAATAATACTATACTAAACAAAAACATAACATTAAACAAGTCTTGTATAGGTCATGCTTCTCCGTATACCACCTATTTATAAGTAATAATACTACACAAAAGCATAACATTAAACAAGTCTTGTATAGGTCATGCTTCTCCGTATACCTGCTATCTACAAGTAATAATACTAAACAAAACATACCATTAAATAATAAGTAATAATACTACACAAAAACATAACATTAAACAAGTCTTGTATAGGTCATGCTTCTCCGTATGCCCCCTATCTATAAGTAATAATACTAAACAAAAAATATAACATCGAAACAAGTCTTGTTGTACGTATTCCTGCTATCTATACGTATTAGTAATGAATATAAGTAGTAATATTGAACAAGCACATCACAGTGAACAAGTCTTGCATAGGCCCACTCTCAACACCCCGGCCATTCGTCTTTCTTGTTCTTATTTCATTCTCTAGAGCGATGGCGTCTCTCTGACCAGCGGCGACTCAGCGACATCGCCCACCTCACCGGTAGGTATCTGCGAGTAGTCCTAATATGGTTATATCATGGATTAGTTTTAACTGCCTACCATAACAACCGCTGGACATGCCTCTCATAGTATCTGCGAGTAGTCATAATATGGTAATAGCATAGTATGTGCGAGTAGACATATTTAGTTAAACAAGTATGACCCCTCGACAGGTTCCATAGTCGTCACCTATAGTAATGTGTGTGGCTATGGCTGATATTTATATACACTATGGTTTATATACACTATGGTTTATATACACTCTATGGTTCATATACACTCTATAATTTATATACATTCTATGGTTTATATACACTCTGTGGTGGTAGTGTCCATTAGTCACCACTTATAGTGCTGTGTGTGGCTATGGCTGCCATTTATACACTCTATGGTTTATATACTCTATGGTTTATATACACTCTATGGTGGTAGTGCCCATTAGTCATCACCTAGAGCGCTGTGTGTGCCTATGGCTGCCATTTATACACTCTATGGTTTATATACACTCTATGGTTTGTATACACTCTATGGTTTATATACTCTATGGCTTATATACACTATGGTGGTAGTGTCCATTAGTCATCACCTATAGCGCTGTGTGTGGTTATGGCTGCCATGTATACACTCTATGGTTTATATACACTCCATGGTTAATATACACTCTGTAGTAGTAGTGTCTAGTCGTCCTACATCGCCGCCCGTTTGTATCTAAACCTTATACCCCTAATTCATTCCTTGATCACACATTTAGAAGTGAAACGAATAACAACTACAATTCTGGTGTCGCAATTCATATGTGTGTGTGTGTGTGCATGTGTTTGTGTATGTGTGTATGTGTGTATGTGTGTGTGTGTGTGTGTGTGTGTGTGTGTGTGTGTGTGTGTGTGTGTTTGTATGCGTGTATGTGGATGTGTTTGTGGTTGAGTGTGTTCCTACGCGGGTGCATGAGTACATGTCCATATACGTACATTCACATGAGCACGTATACGTATACTGTGCATATGCTTGTTCTATACACACACACATGTGCCTCGTTGTGCAATGGCGACTTATCCTTTACCTCATCTCCTCTCATGCCCGAAGTTTTAAAACCCTGAAACCCTAAACTCTATCCGTAATCCGTTATCAGCGTCTTCGAAAGCCGTTTATATTCTCATCGAAAGTTAAAGTCAGTGACGAACAAAGTCACGAAACCGTTAATGTCACAGACCGAACCGACGGGGTAGCGCAGCCGACACGAGATAGAGCGGAGCATGTTCTGTGACGGATGTAGACCAATCATATGCAAGAGAACTATGTGAGTGTGTGATTGTACAAATGTGGACCAATCATATGCAAGGGAATTATGTGAGTGTGTGATTGTACAAATGCAGACTAATCATATGCAAGAAACTATGTGAGCGTGCCATTATACAAATGCAGACTAATAATATGCAAGAAACTATGTGAGCGTGCCATTATACAAATGCAGACTAATAATATGCAAGTGATATATGTGAGTGCTATAGTACAAATGCAGACCAACCACATGCAAGAGACTTCTGTGAGTGTGTCTTCGTCGCCATCACCCCTGTCTCACACTTGAGATATATAGTTTACAAGTATGTTGTGCTTGTCTGTACCTTATGTAGTACATATCTGCAGCATACCTTGAACCCTAGTTTTGCCCTAGATCGTGGTACATTCTCAACCCCTAAGACCGTTGCCGTATGCCACACTCATTCACCCCTGCAGACATGCTGCACTCACACCTCTCACAGCAGTGGTGACAAACCAACCCACGGAGGGTTCTTGAACACACTCACCAGAGGCGGAGAGAAGCTGAGCACCTTCACCAAGAAGACCATCACCATGCGCCACCGACGCCCAAAGAGTAAAGAAGGTGCATTTGGGCCCACCCCAACCATGAAACGGGACAGTGGCGCAGGACAAGAGGGTGCTGGGAAGGACACCAGGGCTACAGGAGAAGTGAAGACTCGGCGTGAAAGCCTGGAGAGCCTGTTGTCTGATGTCCACGGGACATTCATCACCGAGGGTGAGGCGTAGAAAGTCGGTCCTAAAACTCATACGCGGTGTCCTGTCCTCTTTTCGAGAGTTGGTGCCTTTCTTGGCCCGTTCTCGAGCGGAGAGTTCTAAGTAAAGTACGGGTCATAGACTGGTTGTGTAGCGTGGACGTGGTGGTTATTAGGTTATGAGGTTATCTGTGAGCAGTGGAGAGTGTGTTCTAATTAAACGATTGTAAAGCCCACACGCGACGATGGCACACTGTGCACTGATTGCGAGACCTTCACAGCGGTATAGGATGAGAATATATTGCATCGCATTGTAGTAGGAGATATGAACTATATATATATATATATATATATGTATATATATATATATATATATATGTATATATATCTGTGTGTGTGTG